CGATGTTTACTCCATCAGAGACATGTTTACTCCATCACACAGACGATGTTTACTCCATCAGAGACCATGTTTACTCCATCACACAGACGATGTTTACTCCATCAGAGACCATGTTTACTCCATCAGAGACGATGTTTACTCCATCACACAGACGATGTTTACTCCATCACACAGACGATGTTTACTCCATCAGACAGACGATGTTTACTCCATCAGAGACCATGTTTACTCCATCAGACAGACGATGTTTACTCCATCAGAGACCATGTTTACTCCATCAGACAGACGATGTTTACTCCATCAGAGACCATGTTTACTCCATCAGAGACGATGTTTACTCCATCACACAGACGATGTTTACTCCATCAGAGAGGATGTTTACTCCATCAGAGACGATGTTTACTCCATCACACAGACGATGTTTACTCCATCACACAGACCATGTTTACTCCATCACACAGACCATGTTTACTCCATCACACAGACATGTTTACTCCATCAGAGACCATGTTTACTCCATCACACAGACCATGTTTACTCCATCACACAGACAATGTTTACTCCATCAGAGACCATGTTTACTCCATCACACAGACCATGTTTACTCCATCACACAGACAATGTTTACTCCATCAGAGACCATGTTTACTCCATCACACAGACGATGTTTACTCCATCAGAGACGATGTTTACTCCATCACACAGACATGTTTACTCCATCACACAGACATGTTTACTCCATCACACAGACATGTTTACTCCATCAGAGACGATGTTTACTCCATCACACAGACGATGTTTACTCCATCAGAGACCATGTTTACTCCATCACACAGACGATGTTTACTCCATCAGAGACCATGTTTACTCCATCACACAGACGATGTTTACTCCATCACACAGACGATGTTTACTCCATCAGAGACATGTTTACTCCATCACACAGACGATGTTTACTCCATCACACAGACGATGTTTACTCCATCACACAGACCATGTTTACTCCATCACACAGACGATGTTTACTCCATCAGAGACCATGTTTACTCCATCAGAGACCATGTTTACTCCATCACACAGACGATGTTTACTCCATCAGAGACGATGTTTACTCCATCACACAGACGATGTTTACTCCATCACACAGACGATGTTTACTCCATCACAGACGATGTTTACTCCATCACACAGACGATGTTTACTCCATCAGAGACGATGTTTACTCCATCAGAGACGATGTTTACTCCATCACACAGACGATGTTTACTCCATCAGAGACCATGTTTACTCCATCACACAGACGATGTTTACTCCATCACACAGACGATGTTTACTCCATCAGAGACGATGTTTACTCCATCACACAGACGATGTTTACTCCATCAGAGACATGTTTACTCCATCACACAGACGATGTTTACTCCATCAGAGACCATGTTTACTCCATCACACAGACGATGTTTACTCCATCACACAGACGATGTTTACTCCATCAGAGACCATGTTTACTCCATCACACAGACGATGTTTACTCCATCACACAGACGATGTTTACTCCATCAGAGACGATGTTTACTCCATCACACAGACGATGTTTACTCCATCAGAGACATGTTTACTCCATCACACAGACGATGTTTACTCCATCAGAGACGATGTTTACTCCATCACACAGACGATGTTTACTCCATCAGAGACGATGTTTACTCCATCAGACAGACGATGTTTACTCCATCAGAGACCATGTTTACTCCATCACAGACGATGTTTACTCCATCAGAGACGATGTTTACTCCATCACACAGACGATGTTTACTCCATCAGAGACGATGTTTACTCCATCACACAGACGATGTTTACTCCATCAGAGACGATGTTTACTCCATCAGAGACGATGTTTACTCCATCACACAGACGATGTTTACTCCATCACAGACGATGTTTACTCCATCAGAGACGATGTTTACTCCATCACAGACGATGTTTACTCCATCACACAGAGACGATGTTTACTCCATCAGAGACGATGTTTACTCCATCACACAGACGATGTTTACTCCATCAGAGACGATGTTTACTCCATCAGAGACGATGTTTACTCCATCAGAGACCATGTTTACTCCATCACACAGACGATGTTTACTCCATCAGAGACATGTTTACTCCATCACACAGACGATGTTTACTCCATCACACAGACGATGTTTACTCCATCACAGAGATGTTTACTCCATCACAGACGATGTTTACTCCATCACACAGACGATGTTTACTCCATCACAGACGATGTTTACTCCATCACACAGACGATGTTTACTCCATCAGAGAGGATGTTTACTCCATCAGAGACGATGTTTACTCCATCACACAGACGATGTTTACTCCATCAGAGACGATGTTTACTCCATCAGAGACCATGTTTACTCCATCACACAGACGATGTTTACTCCATCAGAGACGATGTTTACTCCATCAGAGACGATGTTTACTCCATCAGAGACGATGTTTACTCCATCAGAGACCATGTTTACTCCATCAGAGACGATGTTTACTCCATCACACAGACATGTTTACTCCATCACAGACGATGTTTACTCCATCAGAGACGATGTTTACTCCATCACACAGACGATGTTTACTCCATCAGAGACGATGTTTACTCCATCACAGACGATGTTTACTCCATCAGAGACGATGTTTACTCCATCAGAGACGATGTTTACTCCATCACACAGACGATGTTTACTCCATCACACAGACGATGTTTACTCCATCACACAGACGATGTTTACTCCATCACACAGACGATGTTTACTCCATCAGAGACGATGTTTACTCCATCAGAGACGATGTTTACTCCATCAGAGACGATGTTTACTCCATCAGAGACGATGTTTACTCCATCAGAGACCATGTTTACTCCATCAGAGACGATGTTTACTCCATCAGAGACGATGTTTACTCCATCACACAGACGATGTTTACTCCATCAGAGACCATGTTTACTCCATCAGAGACAATGTTTACTCCATCAGAGACCATGTTTACTCCATCAGAGACGATGTTTACTCCATCAGACAGACGATGTTTACTCCATCAGAGACCATGTTTACTCCATCAGAGACCATGTTTACTCCATCAGAGACAATGTTTACTCCATCAGAGACGATGTTTACTCCATCAGAGACCATGTTTACTCCATCAGAGACCATGTTTACTCCATCACACAGACGATGTTTACTCCATCAGAGACCATGTTTACTCCATCAGAGACGATGTTTACTCCATCAGAGAGGATGTTTACTCCATCAGAGACCATGTTTACTCCATCAGAGACAATGTTTACTCCATCAGAGACGATGTTTACTCCATCAGAGACCATGTTTACTCCATCAGAGACGATGTTTACTCCATCAGAGACCATGTTTACTCCATCACACAGACGATGTTTACTCCATCAGAGACGATGTTTACTCCATCAGACCATGTTTACTCCATCACACAGACGATGTTTACTCCATCAGAGACGATGTTTACTCCATCACACAGACGATGTTTACTCCATCACACAGACGATGTTTACTCCATCACACAGACGATGTTTACTCCATCAGAGACGATGTTTACTCCATCAGACAGACGATGTTTACTCCATCAGAGACCATGTTTACTCCATCAGAGACGATGTTTACTCCATCAGAGACCATGTTTACTCCATCAGAGACCATGTTTACTCCATCACACAGAGACGATGTTTACTCCATCAGAGACGATGTTTACTCCATCAGAGACGATGTTTACTCCATCACACAGACCATGTTTACTCCATCAGAGACCATGTTTACTCCATCAGAGACCATGTTTACTCCATCAGAGACCATGTTTACTCCATCACACAGAGACGATGTTTACTCCATCAGAGACGATGTTTACTCCATCAGAGACGATGTTTACTCCATCACACACAGACGATGTTTACTCCATCACAGACGATGTTTACTCCATCAGAGACGATGTTTACTCCATCAGAGACGATGTTTACTCCATCACACACAGACGATGTTTACTCCATCACAGACGATGTTTACTCCATCAGAGACGATGTTTACTCCATCACACAGACGATGTTTACTCCATCACACAGACGATGTTTACTCCATCACACAGACGATGTTTACTCCATCAGAGACGATGTTTACTCCATCAGACAGACGATGTTTACTCCATCAGAGACCATGTTTACTCCATCACAGACGATGTTTACTCCATCAGAGACATGTTTACTCCATCAGAGACCATGTTTACTCCATCAGAGACCATGTTTACTCCATCACACAGAGACGATGTTTACTCCATCAGAGACGATGTTTACTCCATCAGAGACGATGTTTACTCCATCACACAGACCATGTTTACTCCATCAGAGACCATGTTTACTCCATCAGAGACCATGTTTACTCCATCAGAGACGATGTTTACTCCATCACACAGAGACGATGTTTACTCCATCAGAGACGATGTTTACTCCATCAGAGACGATGTTTACTCCATCACACAGACGATGTTTACTCCATCAGAGACGATGTTTACTCCATCACAGACGATGTTTACTCCATCAGAGACGATGTTTACTCCATCACACACAGACGATGTTTACTCCATCACAGACGATGTTTACTCCATCACAGACGATGTTTACTCCATCAGAGACGATGTTTACTCCATCACACAGAGACGGATGAAAATGTTTTTAATCGTCAAAAGTTGCAGAAATATGAAAAAGTTTCCGATGTTTTTTTATGCAGTTGATTGCTCGCCATGTTGGAAGTCTTCTGTCTGATGTCTTTAAGTTAAAGCTTCTGTATGTTTCCATGACGACGCTCTTTAGACTTTGAACCATCGAGTCGGTTTTTAACCCCGTGACACTGAAAAGCTTCACAATCAGCAGCGCCTCGTCCTGAACACATTGATCTGATCACTTTTTATCTTTCTGTGTTCAGATGAGACGGATCAGACGAGCGGAGATCAGCTGGGAGCGAGAGAGAGAGAGAGAGAGAGAGAGAGAGAGAGAGAGAGAGAGACCAATGGCTGCTGGAGGAGAAACATGGACCAATCAGTTATTGAGAAATGCCAAAGCTGCTCGACGGACCCGAGCAGGATAATCTTTATTTTTTGAAGGTGGTGTGTTATGATTATTATGTCAGAGAGGCTTCTTCTTCTGGTCTCTTCATTCAGACTGTGTGCTTTAACTACTGTAAGGGGATCAGCTGATAAACAGGACTCTGACCCTCCACACACACACACACACACACACACACACACACACACACACACACACACACACACACACACACACACACACACACACACACACACACACACACACACACACACACACACACACACACACACACGTCTCATGGTGTCACTATCGGCTCTCTGTGGTTTTTTTTCTTCACACTTCGTTCTCGTGGCGTCGGGATGAAACGAGGAGTCGCAGTAGATCTTCCTCTGAAGGACTCTGTGGTCCGATGTGGACTCCAGAGTCCTGTTGCACCAGCTCTGAACAATAACAGCAGGGACCTCTAGTGGTGACATCTGTAACTACACCATCAGGTCATTTAACGCTCCTCTGTGATTGGACGATGAAATGAGCTGATGGTAAACTAAAGCAGGAGTCAAAACAAAGTCATCAAACATTTGAGGGACGTAATCGACCACGCTGCTGTTACCATGACAACCAGTAAAAACACTCTGCTCCTCCTCCTCATCCAACGCATCACACCATCACCATGACAACCGAGGACGTCACACCTACCAGGAGCTCGATGTGACGGTTGGAGCGACCTCCGCTGGTGAACGGCGTCCTGAGTCAGAGGTCACTTTCAAACTAGACGACGACTGAGCGCACTCGGAGCTGGTGCAACCCCACGCTGTTTAATTTATTAATATCTCCAAATACTGTGTCCCGTCTGCAGAGGGGGCGGAGCTTAAAGAAGAATCCTACTTTTAGATATTTATGTCATGAATACCAAACGCCATAGACGGAGAGCGTCGTTTCTCTACCGTCTGATGATCAGACTCAGACCTGATCAGGGGCCGGTCCCGTCCCTGGACTCTGGTCCGGTCTGATCCGGTCCGGGTCCGAATGTAGCTCCTCCTAGAGGACGCCGCTGACTCTGACTCGTTCTCTAAAGTTATTGAAATGTAAAAACATGCAGTAAGAAGTACCGGAGAAGTGGGCGTGGTCAACAGACTGTTGACTGCATGCAGGCGCTGCGAGCGCACAGTCAGCGTTTTACACGAGGACACGACGACGTCTTCAGTCTGGACCCAAAAGTTTAAAAAGGACTTATGTTTTTAACGTGGCGTCAGCAGCTGTTTAGGCCCCGCCCCCTCTCTCAGCGGCTCAACACTTTATTCATCAGTGCCATAAAAAGAACGTTTTGAAAGTTAAAACATGAATTCTTCTTCCTGATTCTTTCACAATAAAACATTTGTACAAATCTGTTCAGAGTTTGTGTTTCTTTAGTTTCATATTTTACTGCTCAGAATGTTTCAGACGTTTAAATCTACGGAGGCCCAGAAGGCTCAGAGGAGGAAACACGAGAAGCTGTTTGAGATTCGTTCGTGAGTTACTAAACTGAACAAAGTTTTTAAAGACGTACGCAGAGTTTTTAAACCGTGCTCTCAGTTTACAAAGTCAAACACACTTTTTAAAACCTGAAACCTTCGGGGCGCTGATGGCCTAGCGGTTATGAAGCTCGCCGCATGTACAGAGGCGGTAGCCACTGGGGGTTCAAATCCAACCTCGGCTCCTCACTGCATGTCACCTCTCCTCCAAACACTTCCTGTTTCTCTACAGCTGTTCTACCTGATAGAGCGCCACAGGAAGGAGTCCTAAAACCAGGAAGTGAGTTAGCATGTTAGCGCCATGGGGTCTAACGTCTAAAAGTCAACGGGGATTTTGAATGTGTTTGTGGTTAGACTCCTGAAATAAGGTCTGTGGTTAACACAAGCTGAAGAGATGTTGGTGTTTTGTTAGAGCACATAAACTACGTTAGGTAGATAACCTCCACTTGTGAAGTTTGAAGTTTTTACTCGTCTTTAAAAAGGCGGTTGCTAACAAGCGGCTAAATGTGACTACAGTGGTTGTCGGGGTCATTAAAGGTCATCACGCCGGACACAGAGGGCGGGAACTCTCTCACTAGTCGGAGATGTCTCCTGTAGGTTTAATCTTTAGGTTCAGGTGAATATTATGTTAGTAAACTATTTATTAAATACGTGGATTAGTTTATCGGAGATCGTCTGAAGCATAACGCTAGTGACGTCACAATCATCCCACCGTGGTGTAGTTAGCTTTAGCATAACGTTAGCTTTTTACTTCTGTTGGCCGCATTAATGCTTCACACATCATAAAAATGGCGTTCATCTGTGAAGATATCCTGCTGAACAAAACGCCTACGCTTCAGAAACGTTTAACACAGAGATTATTTATTAATGATCCAAAATCCAATGAGAACATCAGAGGAGGATTAGACCCGTGGAGATGATACTTCAGGGTCTACAAAAATACATCATATGTATTCAGACAAAAATTGCCTGAATAAAATCTTCAACTCAGTTTACAAATGTGATTATGCATTTTACAAAAGGGTACGATCAGGTTAGTAATCAGAACACTCAGTTCAAACCTCTGCAGGGTTACAAACACTTTCATATTCTCTCTTTGTCTGTAGAGATCTGTCAGCGCTTCTCAAACAAAAATCAAATAAATGTTTTTCAAAAGAGCAAATAAAGTTTTTATATCTCTCTCCAGAGGCGTTGCTCTTCAACAGGCAAGAGGTAGGCACCTGCTTGGGGCCCCAGACCAGCGGGGGGCCCCAGAGGGATGACAAATTTAAACCAAAGCAGTGACCCCAAAATGTGCTAATTTTGCAGCGACAGTAGGAAACCCCCTAAGTGGACAAGAAGAAGAGGAGTGGATGTCAGGACACTGGAGGACCCGAACACACAGATTCACCACTGTCTCTCACTCATAGCTGTAGTGTACAGAGTATAGAGAAACATATAATGTAACCATGGCAACCACAATAACAAACAAGAAGGAGAGACACCTTTCAAATTAAAAGCCTCTAAATCATTTCATTCAGGGATGGATCCTCGTCCTGTGTGAGAGTCCTCGAGGGGGATTTTTCCCACACATCAGTCTGATGGCCACTCAATGCTGAGAAGAAGGTTATGAGGTCAGAAGGGGGCGGGGCCTGGCACTGTAACAAGCCAATGATGAGTGGGCGTGGCGCTCATAACTGATAAACATCTCGGCCAACCAGACGCCCCGAGAGACGACAACAGCAGCAACAGGTCCCAGAGGAGAGAGAGGGGCGTGTTTCAATTAGTGTGTGTGTGTGTGTGTGTGTGTGTGTGTGTGTGTGTGTGTGTGTGTGTGTGTGTGTGTGTGTGTGTGTGTGTGTGTGTGTGTGTGTGTGTGTGTGTGTGTGTGTGTGTGTGTGTGTGTGTGTGTGTGTGTGTGTGTGTGTGTGTGATCACTGAGGGGTCCAGGATCTCATGAGGCTGACAACAATGCAGCAGCCAGTATGTCCTCCTTCTAACTTTAGATTCTGCTCCTGAATGCTCTGGATTTGTTTGGACCAGAGAAGGTAGGCGCTTTTAAGACCCCCCCCCACGGCCGTTTTGGACGCCCCTCAGTTTGTCAGATATGAGAGCAGTTATCAGGTCAACAGGTGTTGCAGCGATGGAAGCGGGCAAGAGAAGTGGTTCAGATAGAAGTGATTTTAGCACCTCTGGTCACTTCCTGTCAGATTTAAGAAGAATAAAACTTTATTTGTCCACAAAGTTGAAAATTGTCTTTGGTTTCACAAGAACAAGACAGAAAGAACGTTATGACAAACAAGACAACATTCAAGCACAGCAGGAAACCAGGAGAGCGCCTGTAGTCCTCGACAACATCACAGTCAGCATGGTTCATGAATTTAAAATAATAATTTAATATAATAAGCCAGAGTTTTGATACATTTCATAAAGTTATAGGTTTAAAAACAGTAATTTCATAAAACAATGTTCAGTTAGAGTTGAGGGCGGGTCGTGGCTCTTGACCTGATGGAAGCACTTCGAAGTGCAGTGGATGAGAAGGGTCACTTGTTATGTTCTTCAGTACATGTCTGTCACAAAGTGCCATCTGTGGTTTCCCTATGATTTTACGAGCGGTATTGACCACTCTTTGTCAGTTTGTTTTTACATTTAACATCTAAATGCCCGTACCATGCGACCATGTTAAAAGACAAAATACTTTCTACCAGATTCTTGTTCACCACTTCAAGAACCTTTTTACTCACCCCAAACTCATTCAGCTTCCTAAGTAGGTGTAGCCTCTGCAGAGCTGTTTTAAAGACATAGTCTGTGTTATCTATGAATTTGAGGTGACTATCGATGGAAGTTCCTAAATATTTAAAGCAGTTTACCTTTTCAACAATTTCTCCCATGATTGTGAGGCAGGAGTCAGAAATATTGTTTTTACTGGATATAACCATTTCTGTAGTTTTACTGTTTATCTGTAAAGCACTCGATAGACACCAGTTCTGGAGCGAAGCTACATGATTAAAATACATATTCTCTCCTTTAGTGTCCCCTGCACGTAGGAGGCCAACAAGTGTCACATCATCAGCATATTTGAATAAGCTAAAATCTGAGTCTTGGAGTCTAAACTCATTTGTAAAGCTGTTTGTTTTCACTTCCTGTCGTTGTCTCTTCCTCTCTCTCTCCTCGCTCGTGTTGTTCTTCCTCTCTGATATTCGTCTCTTTGGATAAAAGCGTCTGATAAATAAATTGTAAATAAACAGAGCTGTGTTGACCAATCACGTATCGACAATCCTATTTTCTGTTGGCCGTGTGACGTTCAGTGGATCTCAAGCTTGTTTGCTGAAGGGAGCTCTGTTCAGCTTTGTTGTTCTTTATTATTTTGAGTTCCTGTCAAACATAATGTAACCTGGTTACCATGGCGACAGACCTATTAAAACAATCATTTTTCAGTGCGATCGATGAAGTTCAGATCCTAGACCCCTCAGTGATCTCAGAGCTTTGGATCAGAGGTGAGAAGTGAAGCTGCAGCATCATCTCACACACACACACACACACACACACACACACACACACACACACACACGCTAATTGAAACACGCCCCTCTCTCTCCTCTGGGACCTGTTGCCGTTGTTGTTGTCTCTCTCAGGGCGTCTGATTGGCCCAGATGTTTATCAGTAGTTAGTGTCACGCCCACCCATCATTGGCTTGTTACAGTGTCAGGCCCCGCCCCCCTCTGACCTCATAACCCTCTTATCAGTATCCATGAATTATACTTTTCATCCTGACAGACTGAACTGTGGGAAAAATCACCCCGAGGACTCTCACAGATGAGACATCTCAACATCTCATTCCCCATTGGTCCAATCAAATAATCAATACAAAGAAATATTTATTACAAAAAAGTAATTACTGGAGTTAATTATCACGGAGCTTCTAAACATCATAGAGAGCTGTCTCCCCCCCCCTCACTCAGGTCACCATGTGGTGGACTCTGAAGCTTCAGTGTTTATCCAGCTCTGCATGGGTCTGTAAACCTTTCTGTGTTCTAACCTCTCTCCATTTTTCAAAAGCATCTCCAATATTGATCCTAGTTTGAGCACGTTTCTGCTCGTGGAGCTTATTAGAAACATGCAGAGGCTTTTTAGGTCGGGTACAATCACTTCTATCTGACCACTTCTCTGCCCGCTTCCATCACTGCAACACTGTTGACCTGCATAACTGCTTCATATCTGACAAACCGAGGGGTGTCCAAAACGGCCGTGTGGGGGCGTGTCTTAAAAGCGCCTACCTTCTCTGGTCCAAACAAATCCAGAGCATTCAGGAGCAGAATCTAAAGTTAGAAGGAGGACATACTGGCTGCTGCATTGTTGTCATAGCAACCAGCACTTCAACATAGCATGTTTCCTTAATGATCAGAGAGTAAGATACCTTTATCAGCTCACTGATTGGTTCTTTAAATAAATCACACGTTAAAGTAGACTCTCTTTGATTTTTATTATCACAGATAACAGGACACGAACGTTTGTGCTTCAGATAAAAATAATGAGAGAGCGACAAACATTCGTACAAAACATCAGGATGAAGATCAAACATTAAACACGTCAACACTTCTTCTGTTACAGAAAATAAACATCGACATCCTGACGTCCAGAAATTCATCAAACACGTCTTCTCCTTCGAGTAAACACGCCCCCCCCCCGACAATAAAAGCCGTCTTTAAAAGCGATGACTCTGATGTGAATATCACATGACCTCTCCAACGAGTCCTGAACACACCCGTCGGTTATATCTGACATCAGCAGACGCTCCTGCTGGGTTTCTCTCCTGGAGTCGACGTGGAGGACATCTCAGGGGGGGCAGAGGCCGTGGCTGAGGGGCCCGATGTAAAACCTGTCCATGGCGCCCGGGAATCCTGGAGACGCCGCTGAGTCTCCGTCAGCTGAACTGTCACAGCTGGAGGTCGGTGACAGCCCGTCCTCCTCCTCCTCCACGCTCCCTGCTCGGCCTCTGACGGCCCCCCTGAGATCCTGCTCCATCAGCACCCCGTCCAGGAAGTTGATGTACCTGGAGGCCAGGCGCAGGATCTCGTTCTTGCTGAGCTTCCTGTCCGGAGGGTG